GTTGTGTAATTTGAAACCAAATCTAAGGCCTCAGGATGAATTTAAGACTTGAACATGGTCATTTTTGTTTTGTAACATTGAATACAACATTTAAAAAAAGTATTTATATAAAAAAAAAAAAAAAAAATCTCGATCCCCGATTTTTTCCCTTCCGATCTTTTGAAAATCACGTGATCGGCTCCGATCCCCGATCATGTGATCGGATCGGGACATCTCTAGTATTTTCCCAATCGGATGTTTAATGCTTTTTTTTTTTTAAAACAATGTCTCTTTATTCAAATCTTTACATATATTCTCCCATTATGATGTCAGCTTCTGTCCTTTATCATTATTAAATCAAAAATACTACTCATCTCAAATTTCAACTTGTCATGTGTCGTGGTATTTGATTTACTTTGTCTTCTTCAGGCTTTTCTGAACCAGCACTGTGGTGAGCTGGTGTCGGTCTGCGAGGCTTATCTGGCCCCCATCATTCTGAGTGAAAAGGGGGCCCAGAACCTCAACGAGGAGCTGATGGTGAGATCTGACCCTTCACTCTCTTTTCCTTCTTACCCCAACATCTTTAAGGGTCACCTATTATGCAAAATCCACCTTTACATGTCTTTTATACATAAATATGTGTCCCGTCTGTGTTAAGAGATGAAAATGAGCCGATCAGATTTTGGCCACTTTGTGATATCACAATGTTTTTGGCTTGTGCAACCATTAGCCAATAACCAACCAAGGTAACTGGTTGACAAAGTACTGAAACTAACTATGTGTCACACATAACTCACATAAAATGCTTTCTCGTCCAGGTCAAACACCTCCACACTCTGGGCGTGGCGTCACTCCACTGTCCTGCCAAGGTTGGCAAGAGGACAGTACTGCTGGTGGAGTCGGTCCTCACAACACGTTCTGAAAAACTGCCAGGTACGAAGGATTGACATCTGTGAAAAATAAATACTAAAAATCAGGCTTCCCCCTGGAAGAAGCCTGAATGAAGTGTTTAAGGGTTGTTTAATCTAATAATAATAATAAGCAGCACGAGCAGAGTAAAAATCAGCCCGTGTTCACTGGTGGACAGACACAGTAATGGAGACCTGTTTAGCATTTGTGTATTGAAATTACTTTATAGGATGTGTTGGATGTCAGAAAACCCATGCTTGAGACAGAATATGAGCAAGGACTTCCTTACCTACAGTTTAATCTTAAGTACAGTTGAGTAACAATTGATGCATCATCAGTGTACAAAATATGCACTGCCAAAGTGTATTAATCCATAGTATTTGAGGAATGTCCAATATTTAAGTGAAATCTCATTTATGGGCTTTCAAAATGTACAGTAAAAAATAAATGTATTAATGTGTTGTTATTGTGTATGTTGGTGGTTGACAGGGTGTCAAGAGGAGCTGCCTGCGTCCCTGCCTCTGTCCCAGTTCAAAGCTAACTCTATGCCGACCAAAGTCAGAGCGCACGGAGTCATCACTTTAGGTCAACCGTCTCCTCTCTCTTCCTGTGTCTCTTTCAGTAAAGTGAAATGTTGCTCCCTGCCAGAGGTGGAAGCAAAGTACTCATTTAAAAGTGGGGTAGGTAATTTTGGAGAAACCAGCTCGAGTGCGCTAGAATTTGAAAATACACAGCCAGAAAAAATCTGCCACTTCCTTACAGAGCCCCTCCTCCATCACACACGAACGCGCACATGACCAATGAGGGCACGAGATAAGTTTGTGCACAGATGGAAGGCTGACAGTTAGGTAGGCCATCCAGTTATTTTAGCCGGACCGGCTAAAATGATTGGTCGTGCTTTTTACAGTAGGTAAAAGTTGGATTTTTTGTCAAAGCACTTAAGATATTCATTGCTATCGGGATGTTAAGAGCATTCCATGGAATATAACAAAAAGTATATCTCGAGCCGGTTTCTCAAACTTACCTACCCCACCTTTAAGAGAAATGTCCCCTGTGACTGTAATGCTAGTCGTTGTTATCAGAGATTATTATCTTCTCAATGATTCGAAATGTAGTCGTTTGTAAAAATGTTGAGAAAATGATGTTGCAATTTGTCAACAATGACAACTTAAAAAGAAAAGAAGCAAATCTTAACATTTCAGAATTTTCAAACATGTTTGTTTTATGTGAAAACGACGTAAACCAACTTAAAAGTAGCTCTTAAATTCAAATTCTTCTTAAGATTTCTGTGCAAAAATCCCTATTTGCATAGTTGCGAGTGACTTAAGCTATCAGATATATGTAGTGCAGTAAAGTACAATATTTCCCTGTGAAATGTAGAAAAAGTGGCTTCACTACAAACAACACCGGTACCTTTTAAAAAAACTATACTTAAGTTCAGTACTTGAGTAAATATTTGTAGTTACATTCCTCCTCATTGCCTCAGCCCTGTGCATTTCTGCCGTCTCGTCATACATTAACGTGTGTCTGCTACAGGTAAGCTGTGTCTGCAGCACGAGGATCTCATCCACAAGTACCTGCCGGTGTTTGCCAGGGAGATTGAGGAGGGCAAGGAGGTTGCCGTGCGCAACAACGTGGTGGTGATCATGTGCGATCTGTGTGTTCGATACACCAACATGGTGGATCACTACATCCCCAACATCTCCGCCTGTCTGGGAGACAACGAAGCCATCATCAGGGAGCAGACGCTCATCATGCTGACCAACCTGCTGCAGGTGGGAACTGATCAAATGACAGAATGCAGCAGAGTATCAAGATGGACGTTTAACTGGGAACTGCTTTCTTCTATCTTCCTATCTTTCCACATAGATTGCTTTTTTAACTTCTGTTCATGTCATTATATCATTTATCTGGGTGGCGGCATTTCAAGATTTAAATGTGCAAATAGGAGCAATTTGACTTTAATATTTGTTTATGATATTGAGCTTAAAAACAATTAATATAAAGGCTATGTATTAAGAGCTCTATGAAGAGACATTATCGAGACGTACAGATTTATGTTTGATTGAAAATTAGGCTTTTTTATAACTTAAAACTAGATTATAATTTGCTTGGAAACATCTGATTGCTCATTAAATACACAACCAGGTTCTGCTCATAAATGTACACATCGACAGATTGGACAGCAAAAAACATTGCCACATTCAAACCTCTAAATCTTCCTTCTTTCAGCTACTGGGCTGTACTCATTTAGCTTGGTGTGTTTTCCATGTCTGTCCTAATGCCGTTCTTCTTCTCTTCAAGGATGAGTTTGTGAAATGGAAGGGCTCTCTCTTCTTTCGCTTTATGGTGGCGCTGGTTGACCCAGTCCCTGCCATCGCCAGGTATGTTACTATGGTTTTGGCGCAGTGGTTAGAGCGTTGGTCATCAGCTCAAGGGGCGTTGGTGAACTCCAGTTCGAATCCCGCCTCGGCCGCCACTGCGTCAGGCCGTTGTGTCCTTGGGCAAGACACTTTACCCGTATTTACTCCTGTGGGTATTGTCCACAGCAGGGGTTCCCAAACTTTTTCAGCATGAGACCCAAAACAGAAATGTTGTGGTCCTAAGGGACCCAAGCTAAAAAAAAATCATGATTTTCCATAATATCTACAGTTATAAACAAAGAATGCAACACACCATGAATTTAAAATGTAAATGAAAATATTTATTTAATTATAAAAGTGCATCGCAGCAATTAGGTTTCTCACCATAACAACCTTCCCTTTGAGCTTGCCCAGAAAAAATAAGGATCAAAGCAGAAAGACAAAACATGGGAAGTGCAGTCAAGTATATACAGTACAAATTTCAATTATACAATTATCAAAAGTGCAATATTAAGTTTGTCGCTAGCTCAAAAACTATGTACACACCATTTTAAACTATTTTAAATGAACAAAGAACAAACATGTTGTAAACAGAAAGGGACAAAACACTAACTGAAGTGCAGTCAAGTGTATTCAGTACATCACAGGTAAAACCAAATTTAAATGATCAGAAGTGCAACATTAAGTTTGTCACTAGATCAAAAACTATGTACACACATTTTTTAAACACTTTTAAATGAACAGAGCTGTTTTAAAACACTGAGAGACAAATAAACTCCAACACTTGGCAACTGATTAACTTTTTTTTTCTGGAGGCTGACTTGATAGGATGCCCTCAGTGCCCCTCTGTTCCCTTTGAATACCTGAAAATAACAGAGAAGAAATTATCATTAACATTGCTGGGTTATTGGGTGATTTTTAATACCAGCCGGCGTACGCTGTATACCCAATAGAGAACCGCAGTGACGCGTCGTAAAACCCGGAAGTAAGTTAGCATTTTTAGCTACTTCCGGTTCCTTCCTACAAAAAGCAATGCATTTTTT